CAGCCTGTCTGAATTGCTGGTCTTGCGGTCGGTCTTCCAGGAAAGAATCCAGAAAGAAGACCAAACACACTCATGTTCCAAGGCTGAGGTCAAGCATGTGCGACTAGCCCGTGGTAAAGAACACGCAAGAGCAAACTTGAGGGGTAAAGAACACGCAAGAGCCAACTTGAGGCTGCCATGCAGTTGCGGCGCACGGTGTGGATCCCATCGGGATTACGATGGATCTTGCCATCCATCTCGAGGGTGGAGCTCAGGCTTGCTCGCAAAGAGTCGGCCAAGTGACGTCCTGGCGAAGGTGCCTGAAGATCATGTTCGCGAGATTGCTTTATGGACTTTAGTCGATGGCACTTTGGCCAGGTCCTGTAATCCAACCCTTGGCTGTCTGCGACGACACTTTCTGCAGGTCACCGTCTGCCGCACTCAAATCCTAGTGCTTGATGATACTAGCAGCGTAGCGCCCCTGCCGAGTGCAACACTGCTGGGGCCCATTGAGCTGGGTCAGACGTTGCAAAAATCCGCTTCGTAGTCCTCGATCTAGAAGGAAGTAAGTGGTCTTGTGCTCCCACACGGCTGAGGTGGGACCTGCTCCATGGAGATTGGCAGAAGCCCCCGTAGCCTTCAGCTGGCCCCAATGACACCTGCCTGATGGTGTGCCAGCTGTCTTGCGCGGGATGTCCGTTTGACTGACGGGCTGAGCAGTGGGACACATCGAGATGCGAAGTGGCCAAAGCACAGGAGCCGTCGAGTGTTTGAGGGCATGTACAGGATATCGGTCGTAACAACCGTCTGGTCCGGCGAGCAAAGCTCTAGAAAGCTGCCATGGTCGATGCCGCTTTCGCAGTCAATGACGACCGCGGTCAACTGCATCCTTGAACTCCCAGCTGTCACGAGTGGTGGCACGGCTATCAGGCCAGGGTCACGGAGCCAATGCTCGGGATGCCGAATCAGGCCAAATTGCTTGATGTATGAGATGTATGAGGCCCTGCGGCAGGAAGGGGTCGCAGATGATGGTCGCGGAGGGGGGCTGAACAGCCTTCAGCTCTGAAAGGAGGCAAGCCAAGCTTGATGCTGCGATAGCAGCCACGAACATGGGGAATGTAGGGTCTTCCTTCGGAACTCCTTCTGGAACATAGTGCGCGATCTGCTCTTGATTCATGGCTGTAAGATCCTGCACATATCGCCAATTCGCTCCAGCAGCCTCCACCACCTGACGCACTGGCTCATCACGTAAATGAGTGTCTGTCAGCTCCAGCAACCTGAGCTCAGCAGCCAATCGGGTTCATGCATCATGTCCCCGAAATTTTTGGGAAAATCATGGCGGTTGCTGAGAGGCAGGGTGTGCTCACGAACGTGTTTCCGCCAAACACACTTGTTGCAGCGGTGTATCCGGACTGGTATCTTGCCGAGTGCCCTCATGTGCCCAAAAAGTAAAACTTGACCCTACTTGCAACACAAGGTTGCCAGTCGAATTCAGCTCCCAGAACCAAATCGGCTGGAAAGCTTGGTACTGCTAGCCTTAGCTACGGAAGGCTCGCAACTGAACAGCTACCGCTGCCACTGCTAGATGTTGGAGAGTAACGTACGCGACTCAAGGACGTTTGACGGAGACAGACGGCCGAGCCGCGCGAATGAATCCTCTGCCTCGGACAATCTCTCTTGCACGGATCCTAGCGACAGAGTGCTTATCCTGCCCAGGGAAATGCCAAGCCGTGCACGAGGCATGCCTCAGAAAGTCCTTTGGTGCACATGCCTGGGCTCGATGTCTTTTCAAGCTCGGGGCTGACAAGGTGCAGCCTTGGTTCAGGAGCGCAGGTGGATTGCCCGTGCACCTAGGTACTGTAACGTGCCCGCTGCCTGTGATTTCGGCGCTTCTGGTAAGCATTGCCCAGCAAACGAGATGGGCAATGTAAAACCGGTCTGGGGAAACTGGCAACAGCACTGCTGGCTAAGAGCTTGTTCAAAGCAGTGCAAGCCCAATCGATACGCGATGAAAGCACTATGAACTTCTGGTGCTCATGCCCGAGCCTTGCAGAACCGGTATGCTCGTTTCTTTGTGTGCTTGGCCTTGCCTGTGTCTCCGCTGGAATCCTCTCGATGTGCTCCCGGAATGCCAGCAATGCGTGACAAATGCGCAAGCTCCCCGGGGCCCCGGGCAGCGCTAGGAATGCGATATCTATACAGGCTGCAGCTGAGGAATCACCCAGCTGCGCGTGCGAGCACGCGCACATGCGGCCGGAGGTACGTGCTCTACCCAAGACTGTCACTGACAAGAGCAGCTTAGTCAGAGCAGACCGGAGCTTCAGCAACACGGCGCATGCGGCCGAAAGCTTTCGCAAAACAGGATTTCCTGAGGGTGCCTGGGCAGTTCCGAGAAACAGGCTTCGCGAATTGGTTTCCACTTAAACCTCGCTACAAGCTGTTTCTAGCGGCTTGCCTGTGCCCAGCATACCATACCAGCTGATCGTCCGTCTGCAATTGAACGCTGGGAAGAGCTGCTGCCGCAAATCTTGTGCCAAACGCACACTTGCCGTCAAAGGCAGACCCTAAGGCCTCCGGCTGCATGCAAAATGCAAGGCAGCCCGACCGAAGACATGCCTCGTGATGCGCCAAATCCCGTCAACGAAATCACCAGTAGCCTGGCTGGGTCTCACGGAGTCGCACCTGTTACTCCCCTTTGGCAGTCCACTCCGAGGAGGAAAATCAGACGGACGGGGAATGCAAACTCCTCAGAGTTGCTACGACAGCTGTCTCGCAAGCTTTGGAACGACTGGAGCCATGTAGGCCACAGCAATGGCTTTGAGTCAATGCTATGAATGAGCTACACATCGCTTTTCCACGATGGGCTGTCGCTAACCGGCTGTCGCTAACCGTCTTTTATCTGTCAGAACAGTTCTTGCAAGCATGGTAGCAACTACATTCGTTGCCGCAAGAATCGTCAATGGAGCGCCAAGAATGCAGGCCGTACAAGCTTTTGTTCGGCCAAAGTGGGAAAGCTGGCATGTGCTCTCGTGGCGGCTGGGGCCGCGTGCATGAGGCCCGCTGCAGCACATCACAGCCACGGCGCCAGCGTGTCTTGATATATGTCCAACGAAAACCTTAACTTAGGAAGTGCAATTCTTCACTCTAGGCGTGACGACCACGCCCGAAGACATGGCAGTTACGACATGTAGAGGCAAAACACCGTTCGTTTGGTCCAGCGTGGGACTTGGCAGCCTTGCCCTGGGTTTCTGAAACGACCAAACGCTATTCATGGCTGCAGTTTGGCAACTCTTGGACAGTGCAGCCAATGAGATTATCAACATCGATCTTCACATCCTGGCAGCGGTACAGAAGGCACCTTCGGACTTAGTGCCTCGAAAGGTTGGGGACTCAAGATTGCATAAGAGCTGCGAGGCGGAGGCCTCATAGAGTACTGCCACCTCTGACTCTGGCTGACAGCATACCACTCCCCAGCATACCGCACCCTTGCTTCAAAACACAGCACAGGAGTGGTGGAACTTCCAAGAGCATCACTCGGTCATGTCCTAATGCTCTCGACGGCAGTCTTATAGAGCCAACGAGGACTGACATGCCTCCCTTGAAAGGCACTTGTGGCGTCTCGTCATCAGTACGATACCTGGTGCCACACCATAATATACAAGAAGTGCTAGCGTGGGCACCAGCCACACCAATGCTCGTCAGGCGAAGGGGTACGTCTGCGACTCGATTAAAAGATCGACGATGCTTGTGCTAATGCACCTCCGCGGCCGTTCCAGAGAAAGCGTTCTCTGGACAGGCGAGGAGAGGACATGCATTCCGCTCAGGGTCGACAGGTTGACTGAGACTGGGCTGTCAACCAAAGCGTCCCCAAGAGAGTCGATGCCTGTTGGCAACCAAGTCGACCTTGCCAACAGCCACCGAGAGCTGCGGCATGAGCCTTAATGAGGACTTCAGTCTTAGAGAACTGGCAGCTGCGCAACACATCATCTCTACAGCAAGGGAAAACGGTCACGAGTTCAAATTAACAGTGAGTGTGATCAGGAGTGTTCTGCCGAAGTAGAAACGAACCACTCAATGGGTTATTGAAGACTACGCTCGGAGCACGACGCATGACTCACGTGACACGGTGTTTTGATGTGCTTTGTACTGCATCTTCCTCCAAGAAGGAGCGCAGTGCCTTTGGCCTTGGCGGTCTCAAGTGCAGAGTCTGTCACCAGGAGGCGCTGCTGCCGCCACTCCCTCCAATGCCTCGGCTGTCTTGCTTGGACGCGAACCGCCGTGATGCCATGCCGGGACGGGGCAGACCGCCGCTGAGCGAGTTTTACTGCAATAATCTCTAGCACGGCTTGGACAGTGTTGGCCGCTCGACTGTACTTGGCTGAGTGGGGACCAGCCGAATGTGTTGATTGGGTCTCTTTGCAGGCATTCGTCAGCACAAGGTGTCCATCACCACGCATGTTCTTACCCAGCCTTTGGCAATGCCCGAAGCCTTTCCGAGACCTGCGCACCGTGGCCGCTCCTTGCCGGTGCATCTCGGCGCCTTTCTTCGTTCACAACACTAGAACACCCTTGCGCAAAACCGTGGCTTGACGCAAACCGTGCTTCCTCAACGTCCTGTGGCTGCAGAGGGTCTACTTGGAGGAGTCAAGACGAGGAAAAGGCCGCTTGCTTTCGGCGATGCTTCTCCGAAGGCCCCACGTGAAGGAACGAAAGGACGTCTTTTGTGGAGTTTCTTGTGCTCCACTGAAGATAGAGAGCGAGACCGGCTCCGATGCGGAAATCCTATTTTGGTAACCCACCAGCTAGTCTGCAGGTACTGGTATGAAACCTTCGCTTTGTGGCGTCGCAAAGCCGGCAAAGTCTATGGAGTGTTATCTTCCAAGTCCTTTTGGACAGAGGCGATAGCGGTCGCCGTTCATGCGAAGACAGAGATAGACTGAATGCTCCTCATTCGTGTGCGAAAGATGAAAGTTGCTGTTTGTCCTGCCGCATTCTTACTTGGAGATTCCAGACAACTTGCCATGTCACTACAACAGGAAGTCTGCACCAGAGATGCCACTGAGGACCGGGAGCTCTGCACGACAAGCCTGCGCAGCCAGTGAGCTTGGGACATGGGCCACCACCTGGACAGATGCATTGCGGTCCCAAGTATGCAAGGGCCGAGTCGCAACGCTGAGGGCTGCTAAGGTCAGCAAAGCTGATGCAGCCGGAAGTCGAGCCGGGAATGCAGTGAAGGTATTGCCTTCCGAGCTGCACATCATGTCGAACTTCAATCTCATGCAACAGGCAAACGGGTGAGGCTGGCAGAGCTGTCTGCGATGCACGGTTCTGGGCCTGATCGCCGAATCTTCCCCACAGCATTCAGCGCAGGGGCACGGCGAACCCGACCAGAAACTCACGATCGAACCCACGAAGTCTACACCTCTCACGTTAACCTTTTCAGGCATCATGCCTGCACGTCTCGATGCAGCTCCGGGCTGAGCAACCTCAATCGCAACAGACACTGCTTGCTCTACGTCAGGCGGCAGCACATGGTCATTGGACACATCGCTGGAGTTCAGCGTGCCTTCCCCGGAGTTGGGTTATGTGCTCGAGCCCGAGAAAGTGTCAACCCCAGCCGGGAGGAGAAGTATCACTGCACGAGTGTCCAGCCAGAATGCTGCCGGCAGCAACTGCCATGCAGGGCACGGGGCACGGGGGTCAAGTACGGCAGGGGCTGTGCAGGTTGCACGGATGAATTGCGGTCTCAAGCATGCAATGGCCGAGCCGCGATGCAGGAGGCTGCGGAAGCTTAAGCTGGCGCAGCCGGAAGCCGAGCCGAGAGTGCAGTGTTGGACAGGCCCTGTCGCACCTGGCCGTAGTTGAAGAGTTGTGCCTTCGGAGCTGAACGGCATTGCCAACATGGTCTTGAGTTGCGTGAGTATCTTCAGAAGAGTTACAGTCATAGGGAGTCTAACAAACTTCCCATCAAACTACCTGACGTCTTGCCGATAAGGCTGCCCCTTGGCAGCAGAGCACGGCGAACCCGACCAGAAACTCACGATCGAACCCACGAAGTCTACACCTCTCACGTTAACCTTTTCAGGCATCATGCCTGCACGTCTTGATGCAGCTCCGGGCTGAGCAAACCTCAATTGCAACAGACACTGCTTGCTCTACGTCAGGCGGCAGCACATGGTCATTGGACACATCGCTGGAGTTCAGCGTGCCTTCCCCGGAGTTGGGTTATGTGCTCGAGCCCGAGAAAGTGTCAACCCCAGCCGGGAAGAGAAGTATCACTGCACGAGTGTGCAGCCAGAATGCTGCCGGCAGCAACTGCCATGCAGGGCACGGGGCACGGGGAACAACTACGGCAGGGGCTATGCAGGTTGCACGGATGAATTGCGGTCTCAAGCATGCAATGGCCGAGCCGTAATGCAAAAGGCTGCAAAAGTTTAAGCTGGCGCAGCCGGAAGCCGAGCCGAGAGTGCTATGTTGGACAGGCCCTGTCGCAACTGGCCGTGGTTTGAAAAGTTGCGATTTCAGAGCTGAACGGCATTGCCAACATGGCGGACGAATCTGTCTTGAGTTGCGTGAGTATCTTTCAGAAGAGCTACAGTCATAGGGAGTCGGAGTCTGGCCACAAACTTCCCGTCAAACTACCGGAAGTCTTGCCGATAAAGCTGCCCTTCTGGCAGCAGAGTCACGAGAGTGCCCAGCCCGCTGCGCCTATGCCCTAGCCAACGGCGCAGGGGCACGGCGAACCCGACCAGAAACTCACGATCGAACCCACGAAGTCTACACCTCTCACGTTAACCCTTTCAGGCATGATGCCTGCACGTCTTGATGCAGCTCCTACGGCAGGGGCTGTGCAGGTTGCACGGATGAATTGCGGTCTCAAGCATGCAATGGCCGAGCCGTGATGCAGGAGGCTGCAAAAGTTTAAGCTGGCGCAGCCGGAAGCCGAGCCGATATCGCGAAAGGAGCGCTTGCGGAGCTTCGCTGAGGTTGGACCACGAAGAGTGCTGCTAGGCTGCTAAGCTAGAGCTTGAGAGGCCGAGGCGAAGACTGATCCCCGATTGCTGCGTCCTCCTGGCCTTCAGCGATCCAGCTTTCACCCCAGATGCTTCTTTCACCGGCAGAGGCTGGAAGACTCACGCTGATAAGATCAGATGCTCTACAACCCCTGCGTATCAGAAAGGCCTGTCAGGGACGACACTGCCTGTCACAACAAAGACTGCAACGGACGATGCTTTCACACACGAGAAAAGCATTGTCTTCAGTTCAAAAGAGTACTGCTGCCACGACATGCCTGTCAACGAAACGTCAGGCTGGTTTACCTCCATGCTTGGGGAATGCAACTTAAGCAAAGAAGCCCCTGCTGCGAGTATGCCCCCTTCTTTCAAAGCACGACAGGTCTCTCCCCTGCCTTCGAATAAGGGCTCATGCGCCGGAAGCTTGAACTGATCGCTATCGGAGACCGTTTACACAACTGGGCCTGAGGATCGCTGTGGGGCAGACGCTTCAAGCACATGTCCGCAGCATAGACACGCCCAACAGCAGCTAGGGCCAGAAGGATTGTGAGCAACATCCCGTGCGAGACTGCTGTAATGGGCTCAGATAACGGTGCCGGTTCTGGCACTATGCATTCACCCGACATCTTGCAGTCGGTTTCTGGACAAGAACCGGCATCATGACCCTGAACTCTCGGCGGCTTTAACCCTGAAGGACAAACTTTCGACTCGAGACCAAGAGCTCCTACAACTTTCATGCTGTTCTGGCACCAACACTTCGGGGCTGAGCACCTCAACGTCGAGGCACCGCAAGTTGGCAGCCGAAAACCGCATCACGAGAAGCAAAAAGACCCTGGAGGAGGCGAGCAGAGTCCGCGTCCGCATCGTCCGTGTGGTGCTGGCAGGCGGAAGAACCTCGCTAGCTGTGCTGCACCTTGCTTCGATGCAGCTGTGCGAAAGAGCAAGTGAACGGGGCCGACCTGGGAAACATCACCGATGTCCGAAACATGGACCAACGGCAGACGGTACCATCGAACCTAGACCTATACATGTTCAGCTGCACTCATTGCGAGCAGGAGGCGAGTGCGTTCGCACAGGCCGGGATATACGTGCAATCTGGTTGGACGAAGTTTGAGAGCTAGCCTGGCCACTGCTCTTACCAAGGATGACTCGGGCAGCCGAAGCTGCTTCTCAGAGTCGACCATACTACCATCAGGTCAGAGGTGTCGCAGCGACAAATGCTTGCTGAGTCCATGCGGCGGATCGGAGATGCAGCCGAACTTCTGCAGCACACACTTGCCACGATTGTCGCTTACAGCTCTGCCTGGCATCGGAGCGGCTCGCATCCAGAAAGGTAAGCGTTCTCGCGGGCAAACCCCAGCACAATGCGGGTTTGTCAATCTGAACTCAACTGCAGAATGATTCCTCGGACCAATACCTTGCGCATAACCAGCTCGCGCTGCATCCTTATGCGTGGTTCCACACACCGGTTTCCGAACGTAGTACCTGGACTGCTTACAATTTGAAGCACACGCGGCACGCAAGCTAGAGGTTGGCAGCTGACTGCTTGGGAAACTGCCACGACCGATTGCGAAACAAGAATGCACTGAACTCGTGCAATGTCCCAAGCAGCCCAAGCACACCTCGGCCTTGCCAATCTGAACTCCGGTGAGAAAGAAGCCTTGCGACCAACATGCTCTACAAGAGCACATCGCATTGACTTAATAGCCGAGGTTATACAGGTCGGTAAGTGGTGTTTTGGTTATCTGCCCACACCAGTCGGAGCAAGTGGAGCATTTATGGAAGAAGCTATGGACCGCTGCATCTGGCAATGTGCGAGACTGTGCATGATGTCATCGGGATAGGTGTGCAGAGATTATAGATGAGTTCACTTTGTCGACCAGAGGTTGTCGCACCCAGAGACAGGAGCACAGTCTACCAGTACAAGGGGTTAAATACATCGGACCTGTACTCATAATGTGAAGCCGATCTTCTGCTCATCAGAGCTTTGTATGTGCACCGAAGATCACCGAAGCTACGTCGGTGCAAACCAGCCGGCTTCTGCTGAAAAAACGCTGGGTTGATCCTATTCATTCACCAACAACGACATGACCTCGAACGGTGCGCCTTTCGCAAAACTGAAACAAGTTGCCGAAAGGATCAGGTATAGGAATTGGGAATCCGACGCAGGCGAAAGCATGCAAGTTTGCACAACGCTTGCAGACAAGCGGGCCTCACAAGTCCGGCAAATCATGTCTGAGTCGATGCCACAGTCACAGGATGCTTTCTTCCAATGTCCGGGCGTGGAGGCACGAGGGGTGGGAAACCTACACAGATACCACAGCAATGCGATGATACTACTCCACGAGACGCTGACAAGTCCACTGTAGCCGACTGGTAGAAGCCGACACCCTCAGCTGATGAGGTCCTGTTGGACACATCCGGACTCGAATGCCCTGCGCAACATCGTGCAGCCTCTTACCGATGTGCTGCCAATCGACATACTGTTGCGCTTTGGCTCGGCTCACAAGCCTATCCTCGAGCATGTTGCTCCTCTTTGCAGGGTCTTGTGCTTCATTTTGCACGTAAGGTTGCTCAGGCTAGCTGGTGTCTGTGTCTGAACAAAAACTTGGAGCATTTCGTTGCTACCGCTAGTGCCACTGGACCGGGCACTGGCCCTTAAGTGGATTCTGGCGACTGCAGAGTACGCAGTTACAGCCTGGTGTTCCTGTACCAATCCTGAAGCATCTGCGAAGGACCCAGAGCCCGGCCATGTGCGGTCGGCGGTTGCGGATTAGCAGCTCAAAAACAATTGCAGGCACCACCCAACAAGACCCGTCTCCGCACTGTGCAAGGCAGCTCCGACCCAATCGCCTGCAAGTGGATTCGGGCGACCACCTGCACGAAGCATCCTGAGCTCCTGATCCCCTGCAGGCGGTCAAACATCGCGGGAGAAGCAGCCACTTCTCAGCATTCCCTTCTAGGTGGCAGCTAGCCATCATGGTGCCTGGAACTGCGGCGTTGCAGAAGAACGGCATAGACAAATCTGCGCAAAGTGCCGTGCAGAATCAGAGAAAAGCCTGTGCCACCTTGCTGGCTCTCGGAAGTCAAGACCATCGAGGGCTCGAAAGCAGCCCCTTCGCCGCGCACTCTGCTACCGTGCAGTCTGCTGAGAGTCGGCACCTTGCAATGCGCGTCGTACCGCCTGGAAAGAGAACACAAAGCGACATATTCTGGCAGACACCCTCGATTGGCAGTCTGCAAGCGGAAGACAGCTGGACCCATCCCAGTTACAGATGCTCAGCGGCATTCGAAGCCAGCCGGAGATGGGCGCACGCACACCTGTGTGTCTGCTCATGAGCCACATGTTCAGTCACCTGACATGATGCCGGGGATGTAGATGTTGCCCAGACTGGACTCCGTCGCGTCGCAGCAGAGTCTGAATCGCAATCAGTTCACAGATGTCTCATGGCAAAAAGGCTGCAATGACCAAAGTGGGAGATGCAGCGCTTCTGCAGCACATCCTATGTCTCCCCTTCAAAGGAATCCGCTCGCACCGCGGCAGGCAAT